CTTTAGTTTCCGTAAAAAATACTTACGTTGTGGAATTAAAGAATTTTTTCTGTCTAGAGAGAAAGGAGTCTGTCTTACATTACTTTTCTGTGTTTTGTGTTGATTTTATTATGTCCTTGATTATTTAAGGGGGGGGGAAAGTACATTTTCATCGTTTATGAAAGATGTGAGGTTCTGTCCAATTGTATTGCCATCAATGTGCATTTTGAGATATTTTACTGTCTCTCTGATTAAATAAGTAATCAAACATTATCTCTCAGGCATCCAAGAGCCAATTCTAACCAAGTGTTCAAATTCCTCTACAAGTTTTTTTTTTTTAATATTGCCTTCCAAAACTAGGATCCTAAATACATAAAAAAAAATAGAAGAAAACTTTCAGGATGTATTTTACAGGATATATATTTCAGGATATATATTTTAAAACCATCTTTGGGATTTCCCAGAAAGCATTTAGGAAAAAAATACCAGAAAGCTTTTGTGTTCTTTTATGTTGTAAAAAGAGAAGTATCAGAAATAATTCTGTTTGTTTAATATGTAATTTATGTAAAGAATTTCATGGGAAGAGCTTCAGAAGAGACACAGCCTGCCCTGAGTTGAATTTCTGTAAGTGAGATAAATACCTCAGAAATTGTATGTTTTGTGGGAGGTCCCTGGGGATTGTCAGTGCTCTTACTTTCTATAATATGTTTTCACCTCAGGGGAAGCACTGATCAAAACTTGTAAGCCACCACTCCTTTCAAGTTTCCCTGTATTTATTAGTATCCTGGTGATGTTTTGCCTGATGATATTAACAATAGCAGTATGGTGTTATCAGTCATAAATTCAATTATTACTTGAAGTGCTTACTTAGCCAAAACCTTGCTGCTTTCATTTGAAGCTGGAAGCTCCAAGGCTACTGGTTCTCATTTGGGAATGCATATCAGATTTACCCATGGACTTGTTTGAAAATACAAAATAAGATCCAGACTTATTAACTTTCTTTACTTGATATTCTTGGGTTTTTTTCTGGGTATATTGTGTATATTATATCTCAGGATTATTATGTTCTACCTTAAAATTTTTCCCTTTATAAAAATTATATGCATATATTTTCAAAAGCCCAATGCAGAATTCACTAACTTCTTTGAAAATGTTTGACTGAGGTCCTTAGAGATGTTTCGCATACAGTTTTGAATGACTGTATCATTGTTTTGTTTGCCATCAGACCTTTTACATTTCAAAAGTCTGAGTCATAAATTAATTACAACTAGATGACTTTGTTACCCACAGATTGCTTTTGTTTTATTCTAATGCATCTCTGAAACAAGGAAGTGCAGGGCAGAATTTATATCTTAAATAAAGAAGCAGTCACAGCCTCATAGAAAAGAACCCTACCAGATATAGATTAAAAACCCCAATTCAAACACCCAGAATCCAATATGCTCCAAACTTTTTGGGTGTTGACTTGATGACCCAAGTGAAGATTCCTTACTTGACCTTAAGCTTAAAGTCATGGTTAACACGCAGAGAGGCTGCGAATGTAGTTCAATAGTAGAACACTTGCCAGGCATGCACAAGTCCTTGAGTTCAATCCCCAGCACCATAAAAGAAAAAAAAAGCGCTGAAAATATGGTACAGAACTGCCTTCAGGCTCTATGCATAAGGCATATGTAACACATAAATGAATGTCATGCTTAGGTTTGGAGTCCATCCCCCACAATATCTCATTGTGTAATACATTATCTCTTATAGCAAATATTCCAAATTCTGAAATTTGGAATACTTCTGGGCCTAAGCATTTTGGTAACCTGTACTTCAAACTACTGACTTTCACAGAATAGACTTGTAGTTTTCAGAGTGACATTGCTTAGCTCTCAGACGACTCCTGTGGCTGAGCTGAGATTGCCACACTCTTCTTGGTGGAGACTGCTAAGCTAAAACCCGCAAGTACAAGAATATGTTACAAGACAGACTGAACTGATGACAGAACGGTGTGGTGGTTGTCTGGAACGCTCTTCATCTCATTTTAACGTTCTATTTTCTGGATCTATAAAGAAATCCATGTCTCTTTTTTCCTGCATTTCTAAAACCCACAGAAACTTAGTAAACTCTGCCTTTGTGAACTGAAATGAAAGATTTTTGTTTTTT